AGGTGTTGGATTGCAGGATCGTCTCACCTGATTTACTAAGGTCTACCGGAGGCATAATTATCGTTGCTGAATTGTAGGATTAGCAAAATTATTGAAAAGCCTTGACAATGGCAGGATTGAGATGGATGTATAGCCACATATGACATGCTGCTTTAATGAAACCCGGTCTATCTGCTGACTAAGAATCCAAGTTGGATTCAGCATTGCCAACTTTCACCTTGCTTGCCTGCAATATTACTAAGCAGATACTTAACATATTGTGTTGATAATGGTGAGCTGCCCCAGAGCATCATCAAGTTCAGCCGGTATGTAATTGCATGGCTACTGCTACTGCTACACTGCATGTGTAAATTCTAAGAGACAACCGCCAAGATCGACAACTTCTCCCACTTCCACAACTGAAGTACGCCCTGTCATGATGTCAGGCAAGTCTTGCGGGCAAATATCTAGGTGTTGCAGAATTTTCGTAACAACTGCGTGGGCGCGGGTGTGACTGGGTGATTGTAAGGTCATGGGTCGCTTTGTGTTGTGGGATGTTGATGCCGGGCGCTGTGCCAGATACTTTCTGGGCTTGAGAACCATGCAACAAAGTGCCAACAGAGGCCAATAATGCAAGCCTTTTCAGCCAATCAAGTCAAGGAAACTGAGCGGGTGATATTGTAAACACACTTGCCTGACAACTGGTCCGGTGGTAACCGGGGAATGAGAGCAGCCATCCGCCAGACGGTCTCGTCTGCGTATTCATGAGCTTGAGCGGTGTTGCCTTGAGCGTCTTCTAGGAATCTGAAACTATGTGTGCGATGAAGTGTTCCATATGTGAAAAAGTGACCCCCACGTGCCAAAGCAGGATTGGGATTATATTCTGCATGCAATTGGCCTGGCGGCTGGATTCTACGAAGGAGATGGTTATGAGATAACCATCCTGAACACCATCCGTGAGCTTACAGCAGATCTCCAGGGTATAACGTCAAGGTCTCGGCATTGTAATCATCCACGTCATGAGGGCCGCAGAGGGATTTCGCGGCTTGACAGGGCACCTTGCCATCGCGGGTAATCTTGTGGAAAAACAGCGTCCGGAATTGGATGCCGATCACCGGAAAGAAATAGGTGTTCCTGCCCTCAGAGTCACGGTGCGGAGGAATCAGTACCCCACCCTGGGACACCGAGGCGCATGGGCTGCCAAGATGCATGCCCGGTCCTGGAAATGGACAATCCTTGGTAGTCCGGTGCCAGGCCATCTGGCCCTCATCTAGGGGACTAAGTGTGGATGAACAGCAAATGAGGAAGAGACTAGATGGCACTTACGCCAGTTCGAGCGGTAAACCTACCGCTATTGGACAATCCAGAACACATCTTTGTTCATTTGGATTGTTTATACCCGAAATCAAATCACTCATTATGCCAGGAACATGAGGTTGAGCAGGATTTTTTGCGCGAAGTTCCATATCTGAGCAACCGGGGTGAGAAATGATCGCATGTGAACATTGAATGTCCAGAACCTTACCATGCATATCCACAGGCATGGTGGCATGAATGCCATACCGCTTTTCCATATACTCCATCGTTAAGTTTAGGGGGCCAGGCCTCACCGCCTCATGCACAATGACGCACTTTCCTGCTGCAAGGCTAGACCGGATCTCGATTAATAATAACTCATTTTCAGTAAGGGGCCCGTTGAGATGGGTCACAAATCTGGACCCTGGTTTGGAGGCAGAAACGGCGGCGAATTTTTTTGTGAGGTGCAGGTCCTCGGTCAATACATTTTGTCCATCACGCATCACAGTGGGCAGTATGGTGATATGGCCATCATCCCATGTCACAACCTTTGTTTCCGGGGAAACCTGTGTACCCAGCATACATGAGGCCAGATCCAGCCCTCTTGATCCTGGATCATTTAATGACGCCACATAATGCCGGAAGAAACTGTCGGTATGCGAATGGCTATCTGTTTGGGCTGAAGAAGGTATCCATGAAAATGCAGGTAAGAGTACTCCGGCTGTGGCCGAAGTGTTTGGTTCTGCTAGCTCCCGGGCGGTGCTCCTGTGCTGACGCAATTTTCTTTTGCAGGCGGCTTGGGCATCTCGACGTTTCTGTTTAGCCTCGGGTGGCAGTTTGCGCTCGTATCTACGGTTATACTCTTTCTTGCGCTCTGGAGATACAGCACGTGCCATGACAATTTTTTTTTTGAGCTGGGGGTGCCGGTTTCGGTGGGTTTGAGTGGTTTAGTGTGAGGGGATAAAGCGGAGCCAGAAATCCGGCTGGTTAGAGTTCACTTCCTACGCGGACTTTGAAGCAATGGGCCATGTAGCATGTCCCTCCAAATCTATGGTGGGTGTCGGGGTTAAGAATATGATGACTGGAAAATATTTTTCTTGTATAGAAAGATCTCATTTGATGAATACATCCATATGTCCACATACTTTTTATGACGAACAGCTCAGTGGTCATATAAATGTGACTTAAACATCCACCTGCCATTTTTGGGCCAAAGTTTCAAATGCCGCACGTGCCAGATTTTGGGTTTGGGCAGCCTGCAACGAAGTTTTGGGTAAAGTGACTCCTATGCCTTGCGATAAATTTCTGTTGGATAACATGGATGACAACCGGGGAACCACAGTGCCATGTGTGTGGCAACCCTGGAACCACCTGAGGTTCTTGAGTAGTGATCCAACTCCAACTGTCGGGACTTACCACAAGGCATTTTCAGCGGTTTCTACATAGCATCCAAGGTCCATCATGACAAAGTTGAACTCATCAGCTAGTGCTTCTTTGCAGGTCTGCAGGGCTATGGTCCAGGTGGCATCACGGTCAACATGCTGAGGCGCCACAAAGTTCCAACAATAATATGCGGTCGCACCTATGCCCCCCAAAGAATTGACTTCAGAAGACAACTGCCTAAGCTCCCTGGCTGCCTGTGGATGAACTCGTGTGATTGCAGCCACCATCATTTCTACATCCTGGAATTTCATGTGTCAGTTGGAGATAATGATGGGAAGAGGAAGAAGAAGTTGCAAACATACGGCAGCATGAGCAAAAAGCAACCTGATGTGGGATGTATCCGTCACCTCCATACCAGCATAGCCTGTATATGTGTCTCCAGGCTTTCCCCCAGTAGGTTTCCTGGAGCCTACTGGATGCATCTCACCCCATTCAAATCGGCGGAACTGGCTGCCCCGCTTGATAGCTTTGGTTTCCTTTCCAGCAGAGGGGTCGCAATGGATCTTCTGAAGGTCCTCATAAGAAAACGCATCAAAGGAAACTCCCGCCAACACAGTTTTTGGTGAGTCCGAATGAACCAGCAGGGTCACATCCTGGCCACAATGTGCCAGCACATCTGCACGGCGGGAAATCTTTCTCAACCCCAGCTCCATTAGAGGAATATAGTCAGTATGGACCGCCCCTCCCTGCGGATGAAAGAATTTAAAGACAGGCAGGAATATCCACATCAAGATCCTCACCTTCCCTGTGGGCGGAAGTCGGTCAGGATCATTGGCAGGGTAGGGCGTGACAACCTTTCCGTGGAGCTCTGAGTGACAACTGGGCTTGATATTCCAATACCTGACACATTTGGAATCCTCAGGCTTATGATAGCACACACGACAACCCTGGGTAACCGGATCCACATTTTTGTGAGACTTCGTATGAAAACCTCTGGACAATTCTCGACGTAGGCTCCTCAGCTTAATAGACAGCTTCAGAACCAAAAGCAGTTCTTCATCCAAATGCAGGGCATCCAGATCGACGGCGGAGAAAACAACAGATCAAGCGGAATAGATGGTTCAACGAGGCCTTGGGTATCTATTAAATATGCTAAATCGATGTACTTGTCAGTATAAATGAAGAGTGGACCCACCCATGTCATAGATGGCGCCTTAGCAACCAGGGTTGGTAACATCCATCTAACAGCTTCAGACAGGAAGTATGTCTCGGATGAAAAAGCAAATACTGAGGAGTAATTGGACCGAAATGGACACACACGATACCGGGACAGGAGTTGCAGAAATTCTCGAGCGTTGGCTACTGTTGACTTGCTGGTTTCAATCCTGGGAGGTAAGACTCCATCGACCCATCCAAGCAAACAACTAAGCAAACTCTCTTTCCAACGATATCGCTGGAAGCTCAGGGACAGGTAAGGGGTCCTATTCTCCAAACCCACCTGCGGGTTGGCGATCCGGAGGATTTCATGACCCAGGCCAGAACGCTGAGATGAGTGTCAAAGACCAAGACAGGCCAACGGACATGAAAAACGTGGCATTTACCAAGATAACCAATTCCATCTCTGACCTGTCTGTGGCCCTCAAGTCGTGTGTCCATTTCCTCATCTCCCGCAGTGCGGTTATGGCCGGAGCCTCCAGCTCCTGACAGCGGACACAGATTGGTTTTCCCTAGGAATTATCTGAACCCTACTGACCTGAGTTCCTTGGGCGAAGAAGTTGGCAAATGCAGATTTCCATCTAAGACAACACTGTTCAGCTCCACAGGGCCCACCGGAGATTATATCCTCGGCATCAATCGGTTCCAGGGGCGTGTCATCTTCGAATAGCTGGTCACGCGTGGTCAACTAGAGAGCGTTCAACATCATTTTGGCGGCAGACAAGTGGGAAGGCTTTTGGGCCACTCACCAACAAGCCTTGCAAGACCAGGCCCTTGGCTACTCCTTGTAGCAAAACATTCATGGCCTCCTGTTGATGACACATCTTCATTAAACTGAACTGAATATAAGCTCGGCATAACAATTCATCCGGCAGCTTGGTCCAATGTAATTGATGATGGTCTTGATACCAGGCTTTTGGTCCAAGCATCTAAGAGAGCATTATTACATTAGACTAAGGCATGATGGGCACTCACCCTTGGGTCTTCGCATAGAAGTACAGACATGGTTTCATCCTCCCACCTAGAGGCCTCTAGTTCTGTGAAATGTGGTTGTAGCACAGCCCTCGATACCAAGTGGTTCGTCCAGGCCGCTGTACAAGACATGGCACAAGACCAAGATAAGATCTGGGCCCGTCTTGTTTGTATTACTAAAGACCCGGTGAGATACGCGGCTTCTTAATGGAGGACTTTATTGGCTCGAGTTTAATTTTCCCTGATATATTTACGTACAAGCGATCCGATCGCCTGCGGACTGTTGTGGTCTTTTATTTTTCTCAGATCTCCCTACAGCAGTAACTAAGAGTAAACTACATTCATCGTAGTATCCATTTCCTCATTCGTGGTGACCACAACACTCGAATGTCGCGTCGATTCCGGACTCTTGACAGCGCAGTGTACCATTAACCATGTGCAAATGCATGAGTATGAAGATCAAGCACTGCGCGCGTTGGAGAGTGAGACCTTGCGAGCCATTGAACGTTGTCGCATATGCAGGCCGCGACGCAAATTGGTTTCCGCTAAGCCAAAGTGGAGGTTCAGGTGGAGCGCGCACATGGCGATGACATGAATGAATTGGTTCCGCGGGATCAAACTCTCCGCCCTTATATATATGTGTATGTATGTATATATACATAAGGTGACACTACTACTTTCAAGTTTCTATGTGTAGGCTTACCCAGGGTCCATTCCTTGCCTTGATGGCGTGCGCTCCGGGCACTCTTAAGGGCATGACGCACATGCTGGGCAATTTTTTCCTACGTAGCATAGATTTTGCCTGGTGCCGCAGGCATGCAGGAGTTCTTCGCCTCTTCTCACCTGCCCATCGTCATACTAGTATTTAATTTTTTTCATCAGACGGTACGGTATCCCGTGTCCATTCAAAGTCTATCTACAGCGGTCTGTTGTTTTTTTGTCTTAGCCAGTCCGATATTCATGGGATTTTCTCGGAGCCCACCTCTGGGAGAATCCTATTGCTGGTTAATCCTCGCAGCCTGCGCTTTTGCGAGACAAAGTGAGACTGATTAGAGCTTCTTTTTTTTTTGGTTTAGCCGGCCTTAGCCTATCATGATGTAGAGTTCCGATGGTCGATGCTTCTCTGGATAGGGCGTCACAGTTGCCTATTGGTGAGACCTCTCCCTGGTACCTACAAGCTCCTGGAATCTACCAGCCAAATCCGCGATAGTATGGCAAGCTTACTAAGCCAAGGCACTCCTGGTATGCCTGTGACACAATCTGTTGTGCCACACGACGTTTGAAAGTCCTGACATACATGACCTGTATGGTGTACCTCACACAAAAAGTCTATAGACATTGGGCTTGTCCAGATTCCGTATGCCGGTGGGTTGGCGATACTGTTGTGACTGTC